GCTTACCTTTATGAGAATTTTCCCTTTACTTATAAATTCATTGAATTGTTGTAAAAGTGATGAAACATTTTAACAAACATTTAAATAATGACCGTATAGTTTTTTAAGCCTACGTCAAACGGATGTAATCATAAAATTTTGATGTTCCTCTCTCAGGAGGTGATGCTATTTGCATAAGTAATTGTCATGACCGTCATTCAATCGAATGTAACCTGATTGTAGTGATCGAAATGATCGAATGGAACCTGATTGTAGTATCACTTACGGTATTGATATATCAGTCTTGATATATCAGTCTTTCAAAAAAAAAAATTCACAGTATCAACCTCAAAGTGATTCCAGTTAATCTGTCTGTTAATTTGAAATATCGGTGATTTTGAGAAAAGCTACCAGTGTAACCAATGACCAAGAATAAAATAGAAGAATTGTAATAGTGAAGTGATAGAAGAAATGATAAAGTGTCAATTCATTTAATAATTTTTCTTTCTAAGAATTTCTCTTTTTTCCTTTTTCATCCGTTGTCTTTTTTTTCTAGAATTTTTATTTCCTTTAATTAATTAAATCACTTTTAATGCTATATCCATTCTATTGAATTTTATTTCGATTTTTTTTCTTTTTGTTTCCATCGTAATATTTTGATTTTATTTTGAATGAATTTAATTAAAAATAAAAATGCGCTTTTTGCGGTAAACATACAATTTGACAAGGTAAAATTTAAATTAAATTAAATTTAAAAGAAGATGACTTTGATATTTTAACAAGCTTGTTCATGGCACGAAAAAAAATTAGCCAACAAAGCAGTGGAAAAAATGGAAATTTTTTTTATCAGCTGAAAGAGTTTTCAAAAATTTTACTGAAAAATTATAAAATGTACAATTAATAACCTTTCATACTCAATATCTTCTTGTAATTGCATAAATCAACTGAATAAAAAGTAATTCATCATATTAAATTGTTAATTGTAAAATTCATTAACTTCATTAGCGAATAATTCGTAATTAATTACCAATTTTCAGATAACAAAATAAAAGACTGTAAAGAATGCAATTAAGTAAATATAATTATTACATCTATCATACTTATAACATTAAGTTAGTTTACATTTCATATTTATGCACATAGTTTTACATTCTATTTTAACTACTTGTTTATTACTATTACTTGAATATTTATAATAACAATAATGTTTGTGTCATTTTACAAAATTAAAATTTGAATTATATTGAATTACTCAAAGCATTCATATCTCTATGATTACTGTTGTACAATTAAATGAATTATGCTAATGCAACTGTCCTATCATAAATGGTTGGTGCACGAAGAATAATAATAGCACTACCAATCATACATGCTGAAGTGAATAAAATAAAAATATTCGATCCAATATCATTGATATATACTTCCAATCTTCAATTATCTGAAACATAAAAAGGTTATCATATTAGATTAATCAATGTTTAATTCAATGAATAAATATTTTCAACGGTTATCATCAATGCAATCAAATATCCTTTGTTAATTAATTAGGAAAAGATAACTTGCTAAAATATAGCGACAAATGACATCTATTAGTTGCAACTGGATGTAATTATTAAAACATAACCTTATCATCGATCAAGAGTTACATCATTTTTTCTTTTTTTTTTTTCATTACATTTCACTTTTTTACAAAAAAATTTTTTTTTTGAATGTTATATCTATTTATAAAATATGAAAAATGTAAATATCAAATAAAAGAATTTATAACATTTTTTTTTCGACTTCATTTTAAAATTCGTCCATCATAAAGATCATTAAGCATTATGAGAGAATATTACTTACCTTCCGAACTGTACCAGAAATGATAGCAATATCTATTCTATCAATTATAAAAGCTAAGCTGCTAACCTGCTGATCATTTTCATTGTCCTTTAAATAATTAGCAATAAATGTGACATTATCAACAGCATTTTGTAAGGCTGTTGATTTGCAATGTTTACATTTGAAGTTTTCGAAATATTTGGGGAAAGTAGAAGAAGCACTTGCTAGACAAGGAAAATGTTCCTAAAAGGATAAAAATTTGCATAAATTCGTGAATTTACAAGTATAAAAGAATGAATGCAAATGAAGAACACTATGGACGATCAATATAACAGAATCAATATAACGCTTTAATATAATTTTAAATTCAATTCGAATTTAAATTTTAAAACGATAAGAAAAAATTTGAATACTTCAAAATGTTTTACCAGTTCAAACGATGTCGATAGGATCGATGAACGATTTCTATTTATTGGTGTTGAAGTTAATCGAAAACAAGATCGTTTTGTTAAGATTATCTAAAATGATAAAATGATAGTTGTGATAATGTACAAAATATTTTATTGTTTAATCAAAAAATCTTACAGGAATTTTTTCTAAATTTGAAGAAAGTTGATGAAATTCGATGAAATTTTAATAAAACTTGTTAATTATATTCGAGAAATCATGTTTTATTGAATTCTTGCAATGTAATGACAATTATTATTCCATCATATTAGAAAATCTTTGTTTTATCATAACAACAAAAAAAGAAAAGAAAATGCAAAATGATGAAATAACCGTGAGATAAGATATCAATAATCATCATTGATAAAAGCAATCATTCAAAGGTTTTTGTATTTTTTCCAAGTTTAGTAAATAAATAGTTTAGTAAATAAATTCCAATTAATAATGCATGTTTCAGTTGAGCAATCATAAATAACTGAATATTTTGGAATATTTCTATTTAACATTATTTGTTTATTTTACTTTGAAATTTCTTTTTTAACCATTAATTTTCAATAAAATTACTACCTTCGAATTATTGGTAGCATCAATTGATGCTAATTCAATTCGTATTGGTGTTGGTCTTTGCATGCATAAATATTTGGGTAGCCATTCGATGAAAAATTTTTTGGCCCATTCCGGCATTACATGTATTGTTGGTGTTCGGTTATGAACATTCTGTAATTTAAAAAGAAAAAAAAGAATTAAGTTAATTAGAGAAAATTTATAAAAATTTGGTATTAAAAACTGGTATTAAAAAAAAATAGTTGAAAGAATAAAATTTGTAATAAATTTGATGGTACATAATTTTAGATAGCATATTGAATTTAATATATTATTGCGACATATTCCTAAAATAGCCAGTGAGTGTTTTGTAAGATATCCTGCAAAAAAGGTCAATTTTTTAAAGTTTGATAAAGTTTTATAACCAAAATTTCGTCCTTTTACTCTTATTTCTTAAAAATGAAATTTTTCACAGGGAAAAAAGTAGAAAAAAGTGATGAAACAAAACAATCATACCAAAGTTATAACAGTAACAACGACTGATAAGGTGACAAGGACCATTGTAAAAAGCAGATATTTTCCAATCAATGGAATTACCAAAGAAGTTGGTGGAGTTATTTCAACTGCAAAAATTTGAAAATACTGAAACTTTTTAATAAAATGATGAACAGAGCTAATAAAAATACAAAAAAATAAATCTAAAAAAAAAATTACAAAAGAAAAGAGATTCGATAAGTTGAAAAAGATCTGAAATTTTTATTTGATTAATTTCCTGAAAAGCTAAAAATTTACTTTGTAGATTTAATCATATATATTGTTTTTCAGTTCTTAAAATATTACAATCTATAGCTCTATTTTAATTTATCAATCATCTTATAAAATTTAATTTACTTTCGATATATATTTTCCTTTTAAATCAATTTTAATTGTAATATACTGATATCTTTTCTAAGTGTAAACATTTACCAGTAAAATAAAATAGTTTGATCATATTTATCTTAATATATTTGAAAAGAATAAATATTCTAATGAATATTAAAAAAGAGTACTGCTTGATATATGAGTGAATAAATTTATCATAAGGAATATTTCGTAAACATTGCTTCTTATCAACAATTTATCAGTTTAAATCTCCTCATTACTACTAAAAACATCAATTTGATTGTAATTTTAAAATGACATGAATACTTCACATTGCTAACCAAAAAATTATTCTATTCAAATAATCCTGTTTGTCTTTTTCTTACTTCTATTAAAATTAAAATCTGTTTTTAAAAACATAAAAATTTTTAGCTCAAAAAAAAAAACGAAAGAATATTCCCATATACTATCATTTCTAATAACATTTTTATAAAATTTGAAAATTTTTTAAAATACTTTTTTATAAGAACAAAAAAAAAACAAAAAACATATCACTGACTTATTTATTAGCAATACTTTAACTTTGATATAATCAAAAATTGTTTATGTTATAAAAAGGTCGTCTAAATGATATAAGTAAAGCTTACAGTATTTATTTTTCTCTTACATAGAAATCAGGGAGATATTATTGTTAAGAAAAATAATTAATTATATGTCTCTATATGTTATACAATTTAGCACCTTCAAATATGTTTATTCGATGAATGATACAGTATGATAATTTTATCTTAAAAGGAAACATACCAAATTTGAAACATTTTATAATAAAATTTAATTATTTCTAAAAAAATTTTAGTTATTTCTTTTAAAGATCTTCAAAGATTGCAACTTTCAATTGTGACTTTTTGACCACTAATAGATAAATAGTTTTTTTTTGTTAGCAAATTACAAAAAAAAAAAGAAAAAAAACAGTAATTTTAACTTATCGTAAAGAAATTATCATTTTAAAATAAGTTAGTTTGGTCAATTTGTAACAAAAAATTGTTTTGTCAACAAGATTTTATATTTTGCTAGATAGATAAAATAGACAGATAAGATAATTTTTTAATTGGTATGGGGTAAGCAAATTAAGAAAATTATGAATTCAGAAATATTTGTTACAACAAATTCTATTAAAATTTCGAATAAATATTAGAATATTATTAAATCGCAAGAATATAAAGTGTGAATGATTTGGAATTTGAAATTTGAGGTCTAAAATTTGAATAAATTTCAGAAAAAACTAAATTGCGACTTCTTTGAACAAAACATACCAAGCAATAAAAAAAATACGGTTAATGAGATTAGAATTGAAATGCAAAATGAAATCTTTTCACCACCACCAGATGGTAAATAAAATACTAAAGCCGTAAGAAAGCTGAAATGAAGGCAATGTTACTTTACTTAACCTAACTTATACAGAGATGATATTTTCCTGCATAAGTTAGATTAACATGAAAGGTGTTAAATTGAAAAGTAAATTAGATTTTAATTTGACCAAGTCCCAAAATATTTAAATTAAAATGTGATATTTAATATAAAATTTTCTCAAAATTATACCCAAATTAAGCTATATTTACCTGATTCCAACAATTGGAAAAATGAGATTGACGGTGTAAAATAATGTTTTTCGACGGAGATGAAGTTCAAATGTGAGATCAATGAATGGTGATTCACAACATGAATATCTCAAAAATTTCATAAAATATTTGAAATTTTAACTGAAAAACTTATTGACATGAAAATTTTCTCTGTTAAATTTTTGAAATATTATTGGAGAAAAATTAATTTCTATTCTTTTAAAATATTAATTTTATTTCAAAAGAAGGATGATTAATGAAACTAAAATGTCTCAAATTTTAAATGATCATTGATGGATGAAAAGCTATTTGGAATTTTAAAAAAATCATGAATAAAAAAAAAAAAAACCTAATTTCATGACGTTTGCCTGTTACACCAATGATATCCCATTCTACACTTGGATAATAATCGCTTAGATCAATGCCTAAATAAAATGTTAGAAATATTATAATACTTTTATTAAGTTCTACCAAATAATAATAAATGTTATTTGATGTTATCCAACTTTTCCTTCCATTCTTCTTTTTAAACAGGTAAATTTAAATAGGTAGATTTAAATTAAAAAAGGAAAATCAATAATTAATATATTTTATTGCGATATATAATATACATCTGACCTTTATCAACAATCCAAATTGTTTCAATATGTTCACCATCAACTCCTATCGTTATCTCATTTATTTTTCGTTCAATATTTGAATCTTTATGTTTCAAATCAACTTCTGAACCACTGTATGTCCATGAACCTATAAAGAAAAAAGAAAAAAGAATCCGTTAGACGGAAAAATTTGAAACTTCCATTAAACGGAAAAATTTGAAACTTCTTTTCATTCCAAATTCAAACATAAGTATCGTACCAAATTTCATTTCACAAATTTGTTCATCGAATGGAAACCATTCCACGTTGATTTGGCACATACTATAAAAAAAAAAGAAAGCTATTTCATCATAAGTAAGTGATAAAATTGAAAAGTTAATAAAATATATAAAATCAAGGAAATAAAAAGAATGATTTTAAAGATGAATTTAAAAAAATTCTATAAATTTCAAAAAAACCATTAAACCTTTTGTAAACAGCTGGTGGTGTCCATTCTACAGTACCATTGGGAGATAATTTAGCTTTTGTCAAGAATGATACTTGATAATTTCCATCAGCGCTGTAAATATTATCAGTTATGATTGAATTTTCTAGTATTGATTAACTTTAAGATATCTTTGCTTTGTCGATTTTCTGAATTTATCCTTTTTTTTCCCCGCAAATACCTGGATTCGCCTGAATCCAAATAATTGCATGCTATTTTTAGTGAAAAAAAAGTTCAAACTTATTATAAAGTACAATATCCGGAATCCAAATCATATCAGACGGAACATATAATACATTTACTCCACCGTATTCTTCAGGATTCCATCTCAATTTAATATCTGTCCATGTCTATAATTAGAAAAATTAATGAAATTTAAACTATTGTTTTCATAATTTTTTAAATTCCCTTTTTTGCTTATTTTAAAGAACTTTTAGGAAGCATTTTTCATTTTCGTTTTGCTAACAAAAATTCATATTCTTGGATGATTTAGGAATTGAATTAATTGCTATTATTTTTTAATGTTGCATGGATACATCAGAATTGTAATTCAATTTTTTAATTATTATATATTTATTTCCGATAGCCAACTATTGTTACAGGGAATTTTAGGAATTTTAAGTAATGATATTAAAAATTACCTGTTGAAGCCATACATTCGTTGTCATAATTTGATTCTTTTCGTGCTGAAAGAAATTTATAAATTTCATATGTAAAAGTAAAAAAATTAAACAAAAATTATTTATTATTTTGATAAAATTAAACGGATTATAACATTTACAAATTATTTCACATTTTGATCTTTAACCTTTTTAATTATACAAACATCAATGAACAAATGTAACAAAATGGGAAAGAAAACTGACCACATCAAGCAGTTGCGACAATTTCAACTTAAAACGGACAACCAAGGCATTTGTTTTATTGTCCACTGGTCGAACAAGTTTATTGTAATCAACTAACAAATCTTCGAACAAACGATTAGCATCTTTGTTACAATGAACAATTGATAGAAAGAAAATACAGGGAAGATAGAAGTTGACAATAATCGTTTTCAATGAATGATGATACATTTCTATGTTATTTTAATTAATTTGAAAATTAATTTCATTTTAATATCATTTAATTTTCCGTTTATAAAAAAAAGAAGAAATTCGATTATAAAATTTAAAAAAAAATTAAGCTCACGAAAATCAACCATAAAGCTAAAAGAATTGAAGCGAAAACAAATGATAGAATGGCATTTTGGACCAAAATATTGAAAGAAAAAAGGACTGAAAAGAAAATGGCAAAAGAAGCCTTTTATTAATCTATCTTAAGGCTTCCTATCTTAAGGCAATAACGCTAGGCGATGGCAATAGCAATTGTAAAAAGTATTAGTAGAGAACTTTTAAATTGAAAGATCGATTAAAATTGCATAAACATTTTCAAAATTTATCAAAAATCAACATTTATTTCATTAATTTCTTATCGTTCTGAATGTTCTGGACGAATTTATTATGATAATTGTTATCATTGCAGCAATATAACATTTACTGTTTAATATCACTTGAATGTATTCTTTTATATCAAAATTATCACTGCTCTAATAATCTTTCAGCTTTTAATGATGCAATAAAGTTCCATAAAAATGTTACATAGCAATATTGTTTGTTATCGATACTGTAGGTTTTATTTTGAAATTTATCATATATTGTTATACGAATGATTTAATTACCATAATTAGAACTGCATTTTACATAAATTTCAGATTTATGTTGCTTCATTTGGTATTTAATTCTTACAATTTCAATTTTTTTGCAGAAAAGAAATTTTGGAAAAAACTATACATTATTAAAAATGCGATGAGCTAAAATTGCACAACATTTTTATGAAATTTTGTTGTATCATTTAAAAAAAAAAAAGAAAAAAAAAGTTGGCAGTTATACCTAACAATGGAAAGAACAATTAAAAAAAAAGCAAAATTTCATTTATTTTTTTGACAAGTTTTCCAGTCAAGTTTTCCCTGCCAAATGCAAATAAATTAATTTTTTTTTTGGAGACATAAGAAGAGGAAGCCATCAACTTTTTCCTTTTTTTTTTTCCAAATTTTTTAAAATGGATTGAAGAGAGAGTATTGATGAAGAGAAGACAAAGAAAAAAAAGAGGAGTGAGATTTTAAAAATTCATCTTTTTCAGTTACAAAACGAAATAAAAAAAAAAACATTTACAACGAATATGTGAGTGACAGATAGGCATTGCTTTGACGAAAATTTGATGAAGAAAAAAAAAATGAATTCATTTGGTACATCAAAAACTATTGCAAAAATCTATTTTTATTTTTTCATTTTTGGTAGGAATTGAGAATGAAGGATTAGAGATATCTCAGGAGAAATGTTTACTACTACACTTCAGGAATCTGTGACTTTTTTTTTTTTCATTTAAATTGACGAAGGATTGGAAACGAAAAAGTTTATTAGATTGACAATTTCGTGCTCTATCGAGCTTTTTTTGGAGCTAAGAGAATTGTGAAAGGGAGGAATTGTTGGGTGTTAAATTTTTTTTTCAAAAAAAAAAGATATTCGTTTCCACTTTTTTTTGCATTTCATGTATGTCACATGTCTTAGTGTATTTTACATTTTTATGGAATAATTTCATAAATTTTATTAATTTATTTTTCCTACAATAAATTTTTGTGAAATAATTAATGCATTGGGCGAATGTTATTATGCTTTATTGAGCTTTTTGGACCGAATTCAACCGGGTGACATAATTACAACCGAATGCAACTTGAATGGTTCATACAATATTTCAAAGATAGTTTTAATTTAGTAAACGATTATTATATACTTCTTTTGTACCGGGAATATTTCACGTTACTAAAAAAAAAAAAAAATTTAGTCACAATCATTTGCGCTTTTGTATTATTCTTATTTTGCTTGCGTATATTTGAGCTGAGAGAGAAAAAGAGTTGGATTGTAAATTTATTGTATTTCAAGTGGAAAACTTCAAAGGGTAATTATAATCGAGTACAACTGGATGACATAATAGTTCACATGGTCCTTCTTTCGTCCATCTTTTTTTGCTTCATCAGATAGAATAATTTGAATAGTTGGATGAAACTTATTTTGATATGAATTCCAATAAAGCCATTCATTGTTTTAATTTTTGTGAAAATTATTCATTCATTATCTTTTTCTTTCCTGATTGAATAAAATTTTTCATATAGACGGCAATTTATTTCCAATTAATTTTTGATTTCAAAAATGAAAAAATAATAGTATTAGAAAAAGAAAGAAAGAAAAAAAGGAAATTGATAAGGTGATATGGTCAAATTAAAAATTAAACTTCGCTTCTTTTTTTATTTCCTCAACTTAATGAAAGTTGATGAATGATGAGAAATTGGTATGGAAAATCATACATTATTGTGCAAAGAGAATGTGTCGCTAATTTAAACAAAAAAATCTTTAAACTCTTGCAGTGACTTAATTCCATAAATAAAAAGCTTAAGTTTCTATTTAGAAAATAAAAACTCTCTAATTAAGGAACTACTGACTGATTCAGAAAACAAAAACTCTCTAGTTAAGGAATTACTGACTGATTCAGAAAACAAAAACTCTCTAATTAAGGAATTACTAACTGATTCAGAAAATAAAAACTCTCTAGTTAAGGAATTACTGACTGATTCAGAAAACAAAAACTCTCTAGTTAAGGAATTACTGACTGATTC